CATCATCATCTTCACCATCATCATCTTCACCGTCATCTTCTTCATCATCATCAACTTCATCATCCTCAACTTCACCATTATCATCTTCACCATCATCATCTTCACCGCCATCTTCTTCATCATCATCAACTTCATCATCATCAACTTCACCATCATCATCTTCACCATCATCATCTTCACCATCATCATCTTCACCATCATCATCTTCACCGTCATCTTCTTCATCATCATCAACTTCATCATCCTCAACTTCACCGTCATCTTCTTCATCATCATCAACTTCATCATCCTCAACTTCACCATCATCATCTTCACCATCATCATCTTCACCGTCATCTTCTTCATCATCATCAACTTCATCATCCTCAACTTCACCATCATCATCTTCACCATCATCATCTTCATCATCCTCAACTTCACCATCATCATCTTCACCATCATCATCATCCTTATCAGGAATTAATAGGTAGCATTCCAGACGACCTACCCAGATATTTCCCCTCCATTGAACTGCCACAGTTTAAAAAACGCATCGGAACATCTTACGTCATATCGCCAAAACTACTCGATGGTGATCCCAACAGGGTATGTTTGTGTGTGTGTGTGTGCATGTGTGTGTCTATTTGTGTGTATCTATTTGTGTGTATGTTTGCACGTGTGTGTTTTTGTTATGTTTTTGTGTGTGTATTTGTATATATCATCGTCACATTCATCAACACATTACTCATTACTGCAATCACCATCATCATAATCATCACAATCATCATCATAATCATCACAAACGCCATCATCATCACAAACGCCATCATAATCATGGTGATCAGGGTGATGAGGTATCGAAGATAGAGATTCAGCTGGAGCTGCAGAGGCAGATGACGATGGTGGCCTACAAGCTGGTGCAAGAAAGTTCCAACTGTAAGACACTGAAGAAGAAGAGGAAGCTAAATTATCAAAAAGAACAAGCCAAGGTTGGTGATCGTTTTTGTTGTCTCGCTACTACTACTGCTGTTGCTGCTGCTGTTGCTGCTGCTTCTGCTGCTTACGTTGCTGATTGATGTTGTTTGCAATGTGATGGTGCAATTTCGTTGTCGTCGTATGACGTCATTATCGTCGTCACAATTATGACATCATCACTGAAAGTTGAAAGATTTGGAGACGAAGTTTAGTGAGATGAGGATAGAGAAGAGGAGGCAGTCGAAGGCCGTCAGCAGCAGATCAAGCATCTCAATGGAAGGTACTTCACCTTGCATATACACTTTTCAATATCATTACAGCAATTACATTTTAGTATAGTCACATCAATTACATTAAGTTATATTTGTATTTTGTTTAAATTTACACTAAGGAACTACATGCGTTGCATGCAATTCATTACAATACAATACAATTCATTACATCACATTACAATACAACTCATTTCATCATATAACATCACATTAAATTACAATACAATACAATACAATACAGAACATTACTCCAGGGTTATACTAGCACCGCCTGGCATTTGATAACTTCCTATCACAAAACATTACATAAGATTGCATCAACTTGCATTAAAACTATGCCCTCTGTTTTATTATTTATTTAATTATTTTATTTATTTATTTACTGATTCATCGTTTAATATAGTCAGCACTATTAAATTTTCAGGTCATTCGCTTGTTATCAATAAGAACCCTCCATGCTTTAGTTTTGCATTTTATGATTGATTGAATGTATGTATGAATGAATGAGTGAGTGAGTGATTGAATGAGTTAGTGAGTGAATGAGCGAACGAACGAACGAATGAATGAGTGAATGAATGAATGAACGAACGAAAGAATGAATGAATGAATGAATGAACGAACGAAAGAATGAATAAATGAATGAATGAACGAATGAATGAGTGAATGGGTGAATGGGTGAATGA